GTGTGTGTGTGTGTGTGTGTGTGTGTGTGTGTGTGTGCGCGTGTGCGTGTTTCTTGTGTAAGCTAAAAGACGCGAAAAATTATTGAAATAGCTATTGCTCCAAGGGTTCAGGAGATCTCGTAGAGGGGCTTCTCGACTAGAGTTTTCTTACTTGTTAAATTTTCTTTTTAGTATCCACGCGTGATTCACATTGTTCATCAGTTTTCTTATCACCAAACGCGTTCCATTGCACAGTTTTGTAAATTAGTTACTTTGTATTTAAGTACAAAATATTCCCTAGAAATAATGGATAGGGCGAAGCAACGTTTGCCGGGTTAGCTAGTTATTTATTTATTTAATATATTTTTTATTTATATTTTATAGAGTACTGGCACTATACAGTTTTTTGCCGATTATGAAAAATCTGCTGGAAACTATATTTGTGATGTAGATGGTAACGCTTTACTTGATGTTTACACTCAAATATCTTCAGTGCCCCTTGGTTATAATCATCCAAAACTTCTCAACATTTTTAAGGATGAAAATAATTTGAAAAGTAAGTTTGTGATATCAAAAGTTAACTGATTGAATTTAAAAAACTACCGACGAAAATGATTAAAAATTTAGTATTTGTGGATTTCGAGATCGTTGTATTCATTCGAACGGAAAGGCGAAAGATAATAATGTCGAAAGAAAAATAACTATATTATATGTACTTTGATATCCGCCTTGCATAACATTTCTTGATTTACACAAATATGTATTACAAGCAAGGAGTTAAAAAAATCATATAGTTTAGGACAAAAAACGCTACATCTATAAAGAATGCAGCCACATATTAAACTGGTGGGCAATTTAGAGTAAAATGAATTTTTCCAATATGCGGTTAATCAAAAATAAAATAAATATTTATTTATCCTGACCTATTTCAGCTATGATCAATAGACCGGCACTTGGAGTGTTTCCTGGAAAAGAATGGCCCGAAAAACTGAATGCGATTTTAATGAACATTGCACCAAAAGGATTAAACAAAATAACGACAATGATGTGTGGATCATGTTCAAATGAAAATGCCTTTAAGAGTATTTTTATTTGGTAAGTCTTATTTGCAGCCCTTTAGTATGTGCTACCACTAACCAGAGAACACATAGACTAGACATGTAGAACAAACTTTTTAACACCGAAAAAATGCGCTGAGGAGACTACACAACTTCGTATTTGTTCGGCTCAGTCTCTTGAGGCTCAAGCAGTAAAAATATTGCACGACAAAATCAGTGTGCTGCAAGCGCTCAAACGACATGGTGCTATTTTTATATGAAGCACGGCTATGCGCTATGGTCTCTCAAATAGCAGCAGCGCACAGAAATTGAAAATTGTTCGCGACGATCTCAGCTCTTTCCTTTTGAGTGAAGGGTATACCGAAATCATAAAAGCGTTTGTCACGGTCATTCAAAGAAAATGAATATGTACATATTTACGTACATTTATATACTAATTTATCTAATCCAATTTTTCGGTTGAAATTTGAATAAAATATTTGCTGCTATTTGAGAGACCATAGAGAGAGATAGAGTGAGAGAGAGTAAGACAAATAAAAAAGCTGATGTTTTTTGCTTTGATTTGATTGATATTTAAACATATTTTTAACAACTTATAATCATGGCATCATTTCCATCCATCCATCCATCCATCATCAACCACCGCAAGCCGTATCTGTGAAGTTTTATAATATATATGTTTTACCTGATGCTTGAAATTTAGTTAAGCATCACAGTATTGATCTGACGAAAAATGTTACCCAGTTGGGCATTGGCAAAGAAAGCAATGCAAAAGTGGCCAAGTTCCTAAACCCTTAGAACACGCTTCTCAACTCAAAACTTTGTAGCGTCTTAAGTAGTTTCTTACTTAATTGGGTGGATGTTCTTATATTGGGGTTCAATNTACAAATAATGAACAAAAAATATATAATTATTTTTATTAAGTAAATAATTAAAATCATATATTTTCTGCCAAATGAGGATAATATGCATCATGTAATGAATATTAAATACTTTTAGTTGTAAATATTTACAACACAAGATTAACATTTCATGGACTATTATGAAATTATAATTTGTTAGCCATTTTCTTCCTGAAGTATTATTATTCTGTTTTGTCATCATCAATCATAAGTCCTTCAATATTGTGCTTTTTGCATTTTTTAGTTTGTCAAGACGTTTAAGTAAATGATTGTTAGCAGTTTCTGCTTCCTCCAATCGTTCCAAAATCTCTCGGTGCTGCAAATAGAAATAACAGATCATAAATTAGTATACATTTCGTGTTAAACATAAGTGAGTCTCACAAAGTTTCGTATTTAAATATCCTCTACACACATACACATACATACACACACACACACATGTGTAAGTGTCAATACGAGGAGAGGCAAGTGACAAGTACCAAGTAACATTCGGAAAACCACAACGCATCATAAGCGATAGAGGCGTCGCATTCACATCAAAACAATTTAAGGATAAATCACATCGAGATAACTACAGGCGTGGTAGGAGGAAATGATCAAATAGAACGAGTTAATCGAGTCTCGCTAAGAAGTCAGCAGCAGAGAAGGCTAAATGGTATAAATATACATCACAGGTGGAGCGGTGTATAAATTCCAATATATATTAACGAAGTTTACACCATTTGAAGTCATTTTTGGAATAAAAATTAAAAAGGAGACAGACCCCGAATTAAGAAAAATCTTAGACGGAGAAATACTAGTATCACTACAAGATGATCGCAACCGTATAAGAGCAGAAGCAAGACAGCAGATACAAGAAGCACAAACCAAATATAACCACAATTTGACAAAAATCGAAAGGGACCACACAGCTAACAGTTGGGAGACCTAGTAGCCATTAGAGTCACAAATATCTTGGTCCATACGAAATTACCAAAGTAAAAGGAAATGCTAGGTATGAAGTAAAGAAGTCTGCGTATTTTTCAGACCCAAATATGACGTCCACCAGTGAAGACAACATGAAGCTTTGGCGTTATTTAGACTTCAACGAAAGAAAAGATACAGAGGAATCATCGGAGATAGATGATGATCAGGATGACCCAATGTAAAGTGACATGAGTAGCGTGGTCGAGCGGTGTGGCAACCCCATTAAAAGACGAAGTCACTTTTGAGAACACATTGAAAGAAGAAAGACGTACACGCTGTTGATTAGAAATCAAGTAGTCACAGTATGCTAAAGATGTTTAATTTGTTAATTTCAATTACAAATACTCAATCTAAGTAAGAAGGCTCCAGTCGAGACTGCTCGACTGGGAGATACCCTAAACCCTCTAATCTGATATTCTACTCATTTGCACTTTTTTTATGCACACATGCATAAGCACGCACGGTGCTCTGCGCAGTTAGCAACGACAGCGCTTAAGCTGCACTGCGGTGTGGGCAATAGCATGAGAATTTATTAGTTGTAGTAGGACTATCTTTATGAAACGTTCAGAGCGTGATTTATATAGTTAGAATGTATGTACATTCCACAAGCCGGTAGTACATGAAATACGTTTTTTTAATTGGGGGCGAAGGGGACGTGGTATCCAAAATCTGTAAATTACAAAATGTTTGTATTTATTATATTTACGTACAAAATTAATTTGAAGTCTCCAGGAAAAAAAGTGTTCAAATTAGGCTGAAAAAACCAAAAAAATTTTTTATTATTCTCGATAAAAAAAGTTATCGAATGAGTTATTGGAAAAAATATTATAAACATGTACTGCGTATGGTATGCACGAGTATGCATGCCAATTTCAGGGCTATAGCTCTAATATCTTATGAGATCATCGCAGACCCCAACTATCTATCTATCTATCTCTCTATGGGCTCTCAAATCATCAAGCTCAGCAGTGTGAAGGGTATACCTAGTGCCATTATTATCGAAGTAAATTTGATTTATAGTTAAAGTAAGTAATAAAGCAATTATTCTATGCACTTTATTGAAACATGTGCCTTTAAAAGAATGCCACCAAGCCGCAGCAGTGTTTGGCAGTATTTCACCAGAAGTGCAAAATTTGCTTCAAAATTTTTAAATCATCAGGAAACACCTAAAACATGGATAAAAAAAAAAAGAGCCACCCTGAAAGAAACTGGAAAAAAAACAATCAACTTTTACAAGAGATCTTGATCTAATAAGTTCATCAAGTCATAAAACTGAGCCGCAGCCATTTGTAAAAGCTTATACACCACTTGATACTGAAAATGAAAGCGATGTGGAAAGTATATATGACTCACCTAAAATATCAAGACAACTGTCCATTATACAATCAATGGAACGCAAATTTTCGTATTCTGATGGCGGAAAATTCAGTTGATGATTTCAATGAATTAATAAGCAAAGTCCGAGACATTGTAAAATTCTTCAAGAGCATTGTAATTGCCAGCGATGCGTTACGAGAAAGGCAAGCTTGCTCTCAACCTCTTAGACTGATTTTGGATGCAAAGACACGGTGGAATTCCATTCCATAGCGCCTATGATTTATCAAGTTTTATTGTTGAATGTTAAAGCATCGCCCACACTCTCAACTGATGAAATTCAAAAAATGAAAACACTGATAAGTATTTTGAGACCACTAGAAAATGTTACCAAAGAGCTGTCGGGCGAACAATACGTGACAATAAGTAAAATAATACCGATGGTGAATACCCTGAAGAACCAGATTAATAATGTACATGTGGATGTAGATGCGGACGACGGTGATATGACAGTTATACATGCCGTAAGGAATGAAATAATTAAACGATTGGAACGCCGATTCGGGTCCATCGAAGAAAACCACCTAATTGCGATAGCTTGTTTACTGGATCCAAGATTCAAAAATATCCCTTTTAAAGATAAAGTAGCTTGTACGAAAGCAATTAATTTACTAAGAAAATTTATATTATCCAGTCCTAATTCTCTCTCCAGTGAGAATGAGAGCTATACTTCCATAGACTCAGCAAACAATCTTTGGAGTGATTAAAAAAAGTGGACGCACGCAGGGAAGCAGACCAAAAAAACAAGATTTACAATGAAGGATGACAAAGTAGGTCGCTACCTGTCTATCCACGTTTTACCACTTTCTATCGACGCTTTCAAATAATGGGGTGATATGAAAGTAGTATATCCCAAACTATACAACCTTGTATTATGTCCACTTTATCAAATGTTCATTGTACTCAGTAACATACATATATACAGATACAAAGAATGTCACAAATACATTGTTACAATTAAACTGCAATATTCATAAATAACTCGCACTCACAACATAAGAGGTAACATGATCACTCTCAAGTGCATGTGCCTTAACAGAGCGCGAGTACTAACTCCGCTGAGTCGGCATACTTTACATGCGCGACTGTTTCGTAAACAAGTGGACACATTACCCCCTCTCCGTCTGCGACTCTCGCCAGACCCTTAAGCTAACACATAAACACTTAGCATATATGTATATGTACGAAGCCGCTCCGCTGCTGGCGTAACCGGCAGCGCAGCTATGCGGCTCTAATCATAAGAATATAATGAATAAAGAACATTCGTCAGTAAAGTCAAAAGAGGCACTGACGTGCCATCGTATTAATTTTTTTCCTCATCAACATGGCGACCGTGACCAGTCCTTTTAAAGACTAACCTGATCAACAAAGCTACTTAACGACACAACAAATGCAAAGGAAACCAACAAACCGACAAATTCACAGCCAGCAACAATATGCAAAAACTTTCTGTGTTTCGTTGAAATTGGAGAAATTGGAGCTAAGGCAAAACTAACCACAACGGGAACAACAACGTCCACCGGAAGCGAAGCAGCAGCAGGCAATAGCATCAGGAAAAACTGTGGCTGAATACTGAGTGAGTAGAGGCTCTGAGCAATGCCTAAAACTAAAAATAAATAAGTAAGAAAGTTCTAGTCGAGACTGCTCGACTACGAGATCCCCTGAACCCTTGGAGCAATAGATATTTCAATAATTTTTCGTGTCTTTCAGCTTACACAAGAAACTCGCACACACACACGCACGTACGCACACACAGGCATACATACACACACACGCATACAGACACACATACACACACACATACTCACACACAAACGCATACACNTCAAAAACCATGAAAATTGGTCCAGCACATATCAAGTTATAAGTCTCGGAACACTTTTAGACAACTCTCTTTTATATATATAGATTAAGGAAATAATATAAAACACATACCTATTTGAAAAAAAAAATGTTTATGCAATAATGACATAAATATTTGTATCCAAAGTAAAAAAAATTATACTTTTTCAGTGTGCCATATACTTTATGGGGTCTGCCACGCCTCCTTCTGCCTGTTACATACTTTTAACAAAACCAATTTACCCTGATTTCCCATTTTAAATGGGTTCAGGGTATAAAAATTATAAAAAAATATTCAAATTATCATGAATATCTGCTAATTAAATTTAAGTAACTTATCATATTTATATTCGAAATTTAACGTTAACTTATTAATTATTTTAATAATGAATGGTAAATTTATGGATTTCATCAGGTATCAAAATAAAACTCGAGGAGACGCCGGATTTACTACAGAGGAGATCGATTCATGCATGATAAATATGTCACCTGGGGCCCCGAAACTTAGCATTCTTTCATTTAAAGGAGCCTTTCATGGTCGCACCCTAGGTGCATTGTCCACCACACATTCGAAATATATTCATAAAATTGATATACCATCTTTTGATTGGCCAATTGCATCATTTCCGCAATACAAGTATCCATTAGATGAGAATGTAGCGGAAAATAGAAAAGAAGATGAAAAGTGCCTAAGTGAAGTGCAAAGTTTAATTGAGGATTACAAAAAAAAAGACAAGCCTGTGGCTGGCATTATTGTTGAGCCAATACAAAGCGAGGGAGGCGACAACGAAGCTTCGCCTGAATTTTTCCAAGCCCTACAAAAGATTTGTAAAACAAACGGCGTTGCACTTTTGATTGATGAGGTTCAAACTGGAGGTGGCAGCACAGGAAAATTTTGGTGTCATGAGCACTTTGACCTTGAATATCCACCTGATGTCGTTACCTTTAGCAAGAAACTGCAGCTTGGAGGATATTTCCATAACAGTGACTTCGCCCCTAAAGAGCCCTACAGAATTTTCAACACTTGGATGGGTGATCCCAGTAAAATATTGCTCCTAGAAGAAATAATAAAGGTTATTAAAGATGAAAAACTAATGTCAAATGTTGAAGCTGCTGGTAAAGTTCTCAAACAGGGTTTATTAACCTTAGAAAAGGAATTTCCACAACTTTTAAATTCTACTCGAGGACGTGGAACATTTTTAGCAATTAATTGTTCTAATAGCAAAGTAAGGGATTCTATTGTGAGTACACTAAGGTTAAACGGCGTACATACAGGTGGATGTGGAGAAATATCTATTCGCTTCCGCCCTGCTTTAATATTTAAAGAAGCTCATGCCAACATTGTTTTAGATCGATTCAGAAAAGTTTTGCGATCAATGTAAATATTTATATATTATAAAAAACAAATGTGCTCTGAAAAATAAATTATCGATATTTTAAATTTGTATTAAAGTATCTCACTTTACAATAATGAAAAGAAAGTATAGCTGGTTCAACAAATTTTAAGTAAGTACCAAATTCTAGTCGGGGTGCCCGATTAAAAAAAGATTCTTTCGACAAAAACAACTATTTTATTTTATTTATTTAAAATAGTTATCAAATATAGAAGGGAGCCTCTGCCTGACGAATAGTAATGAAATAATATCACCAAAGAATAAACTGAAACAAATACAATACGACAATGAAGACAACAAACACAATTCCAATCGGATATTTTGTGCAAATCCAGTGACTAAGTTCTAAATCCCCGATATGATTTGGTATGTCCATCATATCTTTATTGATTATGATGTTGATACATCCTCGAGAGAGGAGGTTACCAATATTTTGTAACGAACCTTCGGCTTATCCCGAGTCTAAGCTGGGCTAGTTTCAGCTGACTGTGGATTCGTGCCAACCAATTTATTTGTTGAAGCCCCTGCGATATTAATTAGTTACTTGTGATTTAGGTTTTATAGCGTAAATGTATATTTTCTTAAATAAGTTTGAAATTTACACGTCACTTAGTTCTACGATGGTTCGCTGATTCGCTTTAGCGGAGCACACCAATTGAGTGCTGGTTCAACGCACTCCGGCTGGG